AAATACACTGCCTTGAAAAAGAATGACAATTCGCTATTGCCTTAAAGGTGGTGACTCTTCTGAGGAATAGAGCTGCCATTTTTGAGCAGTAACAACTATAAATAAGGGTTATGTGTTTAGAATGGTTTCGGGGACATTTCATCGAACAGTAGGTAGGCGAAACATTAGTTGTTTCAGATTTCCCGGATTGTTTCAGCCTATTTTATGGGAAAACATGTCTTAAAGCAGAGAATAGGTTTTATAAAAAATGAATTTACTTATAAAATTATTCTATTGTTAAAAATGGAAAAAAATTTGATTAAAAATAAGTTTGAAAAAAATGATTTTTTTGTAAAATGGAGCTCAAAACTGGACTTCAATTGTAAATTGAATTGTAAGCACGGAAACGAAACAGCAGTGGTGATGTTTCATAAAACGAGGAAGCTCCAAGTGAAAGTTTCGATGCTGAACTTGACTGTTAAATAATGAAATCTTTTGGCTGGGCGACAAGGTCAGGGGTGCAAAGCAAAGATTGGTTTTGGATATTGAGCCCTAAAATATATTTGGGAAAATTTCAAAAGTAAGACTTTAAGTTTATCCATTCCAAAATCAAGAAAACAAATTTCAAATTTTAAAATTTAGGTTTTTATTAAATTTTATTTATGATTTAATTAATTAATTAAGTATTTTATTGATTATTATAGGTCACAAACTTATTGGACAGTCACAAATTATAATTTTTAGGTCACACATTAGTTATTAATCACAATTTATTTTTTTCATTGGTCATATATTGTTTATTAATTACAGATTAACTAATTCAGTGGTCACAATCAATCAAATAATCTGCGACTACCACCAACACTTACGACCACCACTTCAACGTTGCCTCCAACAACGGCACCACTACCACAGTCACCGCCAACCACCACCAACGACGTCACTCATCGCCACCATTGTCGACATCACCACCACAACACCAATAACACCCACTTCCCATCCCACTACTCCAAAGCACCGCACTATGGCCAACAACCATCAACGACGTCGCCCACCGCCACCACCATCGACATCATCACCACTATAATACCAACAATAACACCACCATCATTGCGGAGAGCGGCGCTAAGGCACTGCACACCGACCTATACCACCATCGCACCGCAATTGCCAGACCCACTACCACGGCCACCACTATGAAGCCATCACTGTTGGAAAATTACACTAATATTATGCATATTATATTCACAAAATCATGTCGTTTATTTGCGTGAAATCAAAACGCAATTTCAACTTACCGAGATAGGATTTGAGAAGACAAAATAAGAATTTATCGAATCAGAATACCTGGATATGGATTCTTCCCTTTCAACTCATGATCGAAAGCAAGTAATTCTTTGGATCAAACCTTGCAGGATAAACATATAAATAACGTTAATCATTTGCTGAAATCAAATCATAATAAAATGAATCAGAAAATGAAGAAAGAAGATGTAAATGACGGATTTTTTGTCAAGGCAAGTGTTGGACACTTTGTTCTTAAAATGAATTTACCCCGCATCGGTGCTAACGGTTCTCCGGCAATCATCTCCCAAGATACAACGACCACGTCGAGCCATAGGAGCACTCCAAATGACTTCGACCAGCGAACTCGAATGGAATTCCCTCTCTATCATGATCATGACTTTGATTCAAATGTTTTATGCAAAACCAAAGTGTAAATTGGAATGGAATGATATGGTATCTCTGACTTTTCTTGAATTTCTTGAATAATAAAATTCAAACATATGGAGTCTATATATAGTAGTTGGAAAGGTATGTCAAAAAATACTACCATACCAAGAGTCACATCTCTTGAAATTTATATTTATTGAAAATTAATCATACACATACCAAAAGTCATGATCCTCCATGTGAAAAGACGCATATTTTCATCCATATATTTCTAGAATATTTCACAATATTCTATACAATTTTTCAGTAATTTCAAGTATTAAGCGATTTTATATTTGGCTTAATTTCTCATTCACCAAATTAAGAATTCCACTTAAATAATTATGTAAAACTGGTCACAACTAATTTTAGATACAAAATTTCAACAATCTCCCACATGAATGAAAATTAATGCAAATGTCTATGCAGACACTAGTAGAGAGAGAGCGGGAAAACGCTGCATCAGGTAAGGTAGCTTTTGATTTTGAACCTTCCTTAATGAAATACCATCAAATTTACTAGTTAATTGGTGAACGCGATGTTCTTGAACCATCAGTCGTTAGTATAAACCAAGACAACAATACTCACACAATGTCTACCATAAATCGTTCATGGTTCTCATGACTTTGTTCATTTTGGCCTTGAACCCATATTGGTTCTATAAGTGTTTAGAGAATTCAAGCTTTGAATAATTCTTATTGAAGCGGCCTCACTTCACACTTACATAGATGATTTCCTATTAAGAGTATTCAGCCCTACTCCACTTAACTTAATCAAGATATAGGAATTATTAAAAGTTTATCTTAACCTCCAATCACTCTGCAGAAAGTACTTTGTTATCATAGGAATGAGTTAGGAAATTAGTTTCCTAAGTGTTTCATAGAATCCCGATAACTTAGTTATCTCTTTGAACCAAGATCTTGAGATCTCCAGTCAACATGGTAGGGTTACCATCATAAGGACTCTTACTCAGTAGGCTTAATCACATTCCCTTCGATATGCAGTATACTTGATCTCTTGGTAAACATATATAAATGGATCCACAAGTTTACACCAATGAGATCAACTGCTTATGGTATTATGTCTACGGCATACATGTCTAGACTTACCATTATATGTGACTTAGTATTTTTTCAAATTTAGCTAGCCAACGATCGATTCATTTGATAGATACACATTGTCACCAACTAAGAAATCTTCTCATGAAACTACATGCTTCTCATTAACTTTATCTAAAACTTTATCAATTCCAAATAACAATGTTGGAGGATTTCTAATAAATCATTACACTAGTCAATCATATTTACTAGTGTATTTCATACATGGGTATCCAATATCATCATTAAAGCATTGCAATGCATTCGAATTTTATGAATATTCTCAAATATTCCAATTGTTCTTGTATATCCAAACAACCATCATGATCGACTTTCATCCCATTTCATCCACTTTAGGGCTTTCATCCCATTTCATCCACTTTAGACTTAGTGTATATCATCACATCACAATATCCTTTCAATACCGCAGGATATATTGTGAAATGTAATCCGCAGGTCATGGTATATTTCAAATACCTAAGGACCCCTATCAATGCCACCCAATAATCATGGCTTGAATTACTTGTGAATCTATAAGTTTATTCACAACAAAAGCATTATCCGATCGAGTGCATTTTGTAATATACATTAGATTGTTAATTACTTGTGAATATCTTAGTTGTGACACGCTTTCACCCTTATTTTGACCAAGTGTAGACTTATGTCAATACTTCAAACTTTTTAAATATTTTCTCAACAAATGACATTGGGAAAGTATAATTCCTTCCGATGTTCTAGAGATTTTTTATCTCTAGTATTACATCTGTCACACCCAAGTCTTTCATGTCGTAATGCTTCGTAAGCATTTTCTTGGCGTTTAGCACCACTTCGTGACTATTGCCCATCATCATCATATTGACTACATACAAACACATAGCATCTGGTGTATTTTCCACGCATAAACCCTTGTCACATTCATTTATTTTGAACTCATTTAACAACATCGTTTTGTCAAACTTTTGGTACATGGAGCTTGTTTCAGTCCATATAAGGACTCAACAAGTTTACAAATTTTGTGGCTTTCACTTGGAGACACCTTTAGGTTGCTCTATGTATATCTCTTCTTCTAACTCACCATTTAGGAATCTTATTTTCACATCCATTTGATGAATCTCAAGGTTATGTATTGTCACAATTGCAATTAATAACCTTATCGAAGTGATTCAGGTCACGGGTGAGTAGGTAAAGAAGTCAAATCCATCTTCCTGCCTATATCCTTTGACAACCAATCTAGCCTTATATTTATCAATGGATCAATCAGG